AAAGAATGGGAAGATGTATTGAAAGTGCTAAGAGAGAAACAATTTCAACCAAGATTATTGTATCCTGCAAGATTATCCTTCATAAGGGAAAAAAAGATTAAAATCTCAGACAAACAAGACCTGAAAGAATTTGCCAGCACCAGACCAACTCTCCAAGAAACCCTGAAGAAAGTATTGTTCCAGGAAAACTAAAGAGCTAACAGACAGAAACAAAGGAATGAAAGGCTGCTATGACAATGGCCAACTTAAACATTGGGACAGATCCAGTTACATGGATAATAACATTGAATGCGAATGGATTAAATTCTCCAGTCAAGAGACACAGACTGGCCAAATGGATAAAAAAACAGAGACTTTCTATCTGTTGCCTACAGGAAACCCACCTCATCAATAAAGACATACATAGACTGAAAGGGTAGAGTTGGAAAAAGGTTTTCCATGCAAATGGGAACCAAAAAAGAGCTGGAGTTGCTATACTAATTTATGACAAAATAGGCTTTAAAGCAAAAACTGTTCGAAGAGACAAAGAAGGGCAGTATATTGTAGTAAAAGGATCAATAGATCAAGAAGATATAACTCTTATAAATATCTATGCACCTAACACAGGAGCACTGAAATATGTGAAGGAAAGATCTAAAAGGGGAGAGAGACTGCAATATACTAAGTGTTGGAGACCTCAACACTGCACTATCCGCTCGGGACAGATCATCTAGACAAAAAATTGATAAAGAGATAAAGGATCTGAATGATACCATAAAAGAAATAGACTTAACAGACATCTATAGAATTTTCTATACAAAAACTATGAGATACCCTTTTTTCTCACCCCCACATGGAACCTTTTCGAAGATTGACCACATCATAGGGCATGAAGCAAGCCTCTACAGATTCAAAGGCAAAGAAACTATTTCCAGCATCTTCTCTGACCATGATGGAATTAAACTGGAGTTTAATTTCAAGAGAAATCCTCAAAAATACTCAAATACATGGAAACTAAATAACCTACTACTGAATGACTCCACAACTACTGATGAAATAAAGTCTGAAATGAAAAGATTCATGGAAGCTAATGACAACGAGCACAAGAGTTTCCATAATCTTTGGGACACCGCAAAAGCAGTCATAAGAGGGAAGTTTATAGCAATTAGTGCTCATAAGAGGAAGGCAGAAAGAAGGCAAATTGATTGCCTAACATCATGCCTCAGAGACCAGGAGAAGCAACAGCAAAATAATACAAAAAGCTCCAGGAGAAAGGAAATAATTAAGATCCTAGCATAAATAAATGAAATAGAAAATAAGCGAACTATACAGAAAATACACCATATTATTAGGAAAAAAGACAAAAATCATATGGTCATATTGCTTGCTGCAGAAAAATAATTTGATAAGACAACATCCCTTTATGATCAAGATGCTCAGCAAAATCAGCTTACAAGGGTCATTTCTCAACACAATAAAGGCTATCTATGAAAAATCCATTGTGAACATCATCCTGAATGGAGAAAAGCTGAAAGTATTCCCACTAAAAGTGGGTACAAGACAAGGATGTCCACTTTCTCCACTCCTTTTCAATATAGTACTGGAAGTCCTCGGCAATGTAATCAGAAAAGAGGAAAAAATTAAAGGCATCCAAATAGGAAAAGAAGAGCTGAAACTCTCTCTATTCGCAGATGACATGATTGTGTACATAGAAGAACCAATGATTTCCATGAAGAAATTTCTGGAAGTAATGCATGAATACAGTAAAGTTGCAGGATACAAAATTAATATACAGAAGTCTATAGAGTTTCTATATACAAACTACAGGCAGATGGAGAGGGAACTGAAAAAAGTTATTCCATTTACCATAGCCATTAACAGTTTAAGATACTTAGGGATAAATCTAACCAAAGAAGTTAAAGACCTCCACAAGGAAAACTATGAGAAGCTAAAAAAAGAAATAGAAAATAACACAAAAACGTGGAAGGAAATCCCATGTTCCTGGATTGGAAGAATTAATATAACCAAAATGGCAAGTCTACCCAAATTAATATACCTATTTAATGCAATGCCAATCAAAGTACCAGACTCATTCTTCACAGATCTAGAAAAGACAATCATAAAATTAGTCTGGAATCATAAAAGACCCCGTATTGTCAAAGCAATTCTACACAAGAAGAGTGGAGTGGGCGGCATCTCACTCCCTGAACCAAAAATATATTATAAAGCTGTGGTAATCAAAACAGCATGGTACTGGCACAGGAACAGACATGTGGACCAATGGAACAGAATTGAGTCCACAGGAATAAATTCCCAATCATTCAGTCAACTGATTTTTGACGAGGGGTACCTATCAATCCAGTGGGAAAAGGAAAACCTCTTCAGAAAATGCTGCTGGAAAAACTGGATTTCTTCCTGCAGAAAGATCAATCTAAATGCCTACCTTTCACCTTTGACAAAAATCAAGTCAAGGTGGATCAAGGATCTAAATCTAAGACCCCAAACTATTAAACTGCTTCTAGAAAACACTGGGGAAACTCTGGGAGACATTGGGGTAGGGAAAGATAAGCAGAATACACAAGGAACTCAAGTAGTTGTTTGGAAAAAAGATGATCAACCCTATTAAAAGATGGGAGTAGGAGTTAAAAAAAAACACCCTCTAAAGATGACATACGAATAGCCAAAAGGCATATGAAAAAATGCTCAACATCCCTCATCTTAAGGAAAATGCAGGTCAAAACAACAATGAGATACCGCCTAACTCCAGTCAGAATGTCTACGATTAAAAAAACAAAAAATGGTAAGTGTTGGTGGGGGTGTGGTGAAAGGAAAACTCTCTTATACTGCTAGTGGGAATGTAAATTAGTCCAGCCACTGTGGAGAACTATTTAGAGATTTCTCAAAAATCTACAAGTAGAACTACCATATGATCCAGCAATCCCACTCTTTGGGGTCCACCCAAAGACAGAAGAATTCTTCACTGGACTAGTGCTTGCACATTGATGTTTTTTGTGGCACTATTCACGATTGCTAAGACATGGAACCAACCCAAATGCCCCCATACAGATGAATGGATTGGAAAACTGTGACACATATACTCTGTGAAATACTATTCAGTCATAAAAAAAACAACAAAACCCTGGCTTTTGACAGAAAGTGGAAGAATATGGAAGATTTATTGCTGCGTGAAGCAAGCCAGGCTATGAAGGAGAGATACTGTATGTCCTCAGTTAATATATACCGAGTTGCTGTACTCTATGACTGAAACTGACTGACTAAAGGATGTACAAACACAAGAGATAGGTGTGATGGCCAGATACGATGTGTGTGGAGGAGTGGGGCCTGGGGAAAGACATTTGGCGGAGAGATACAGATACAGAGTATTGACGGGACCGGGAGGTAGTGGGGTTATCTGTTGAAGATATTTTGATCAACTAGTTTGGGAGAAATGTTCACTTTGTAAGTTAAATAATGTGATTGAAGGTATAAAAAATAAAAAAATGAAAAAAAATTATACTAAGTAGATAAAACTGCAATGAATAATGAAGTATAGTGATGTCACTTAATGACAATAATATGTTTTTAGAAATGTTTCAGGATATTTTGTCATTGTGCAAATATCATAGGCTTTACTTACAAATGTAGACAGCAGCACCTACTACACTAACAGTGGCTTCTGTATGTTTAGGGGCCATCATCAGGAAAACAACATGATATTAAAAAAAAAAACACAACAGAAACTGATGCAATTGGGATGTGTGAAGTGGGTAAGATAAACATGTATGCCTTGCCTCTCTATTTTTCCCCTTTATGTCCTTCCTCATACTTCTTATAACCTGCTTGTATCAACATGCCAACTTGCTTATGTATATTTTACTGATGCTTAATTTTATTTATTTTTACTTTTCCATTTTTAATTAATGAACCCTCATAAAGCTTCTAAAATACAATGTGAAACAATCTGAAGCAAAAATAATCAACTTACCAGAGATGTATTCATTGTCTTTGCTCTTGAAAACATGTGGAGGACTGTGGAATTATATTTGGAAGATATGATAAGTTGAGGAAAACAAGAGAAAGATTGGTGTGGCTTATTCCTAGATCCTCATGTGTAAAGCTGTCTGCACATTAGCTGGAGAGAAATAATAAACAAACAAACCAATAAACTTTCCCTGTGGGGAAATAGTCACTTACACATGAGAATAGGCTAGAAAGACCTAATTGAAGTAGCATCCACAACCCTCTTCATTGGTAGATATTAAACACAATATTACTCCATAGAAATACTTACATGCTGGTGATTTAGTAAAACTTTATGAAACTATGACAAAATAGTTTAACAATTTAAGAATGGTTGTTTAAATAAATTACACACATTAAAGAAATAACCATTATACTTTCACTAAAATTTAAGTTGTTGAATAATTACTTGCACAGTATTAACACTATTCCTATAAATACAGACATACCAAATAAGACTCCACATTTGTTTTCATTAGAAAACTTACTTTTGTATACTTAAACTTCATAGAAAACATGCACCTTACAACCTAACATTTTTGACTCATGATTATATAGGAAAAAAATGTACATAATGCATATTTATTGTAACACACTTTCCCACTTCAGTGGAAAGTGTTCTCCAATGACATATCTCCATGTATCCATGCCTTTATATAGTTTCCACAGTGACTCTTTGCTTTGCTATTTCACTTTCTTGGGTTAATGGGACATCAGTAAATGTGATATAGATTTATTTGGAGTTTTTCTTCCTGGAATACTATTATTTTGTGAAGAAGCATGGGGTTGCCTGTTTTATATGCATGGCCTAGCCAAGGGCCAGCACAAACCACCAGGTGTATGAGGAATATGATCTTCAATAAACCTGCCTCAGTCAAGGCACCAGAAGACTAAAGCCTCATTTGTGAACTCAGGCAACACCAGAACAGGAATTGTCCAGCTAAGCCCAGCTCAAAATGCTGACTTACAGAATCATAATAAATAAAATGATTGCTTTTTAATCGCAGCAAGTCTTTGTTGATTCATGACACATCATTCACTGGAAACTTTAATCCTCCACAATTCTATATGTATTGGTGATTAGGGGAGAAAGAATTGAATACGCATGTTAAATACAATAGAATTTCACAATCACACAAAGAAGTTTACATATACTCAATGAATGTCAAACAAGTAGATCTCAGTGAGGAAGCCAATCACGAAGAGGCCATATGAGCCATACAAAGAAACGGTCTAAAGACCATAAGATTAGGTTTTAAGTTTTTACATCATGAGTTTGTTACCTACATGTGGGCATTGTATTGTGTTTTATTTACATTTTTAGAACTAATTAGGAGTTACTGTGATTCAGTCTAATATTCCCATTTCAGATACAAAGAACAGTCCCTTATTAATTTGCTATTGAATTTATGATTTTCAAGAATAGATAACATTAGATGGGAAGAAATGTATTAACTCTTTGGGCTTATACAGTCCTCAGAGAGCACTGGGGAAACACAAGCAGGCATGACTAAGGCAATTTTCTTAAAAAAGGCTTGACTAGACTAACTATGGTTCCTGACAGTGGTCCCAAACAAAGATGAGTTTTGACTTACCTATGGCAAACTAAATGAATGAATAAATAACATTATTGAAAAGGCAAGATGCCTGACATTCCAAATTAGGTGACACTAGGAAACTCACTTATCTTCTCACCCCTCCCTTTTTTGTGTTTGTTATAAGAGAAAAAGACTCTCCAAACCCTTCCTGGACAACAAGAAAGAACTATTAAGATAGAGGGAGTATCAGCATATCTGTAGATACCAAATATAGGAACAGATAAGGTTTGTGAGATCTACAATTCAGAAATAATGATAGAACAAAGCAATAGGAGTGTTAGGGAGCAATGTGGACAGATTTTCTCAGATATGATAGGCTACCCCATCATTCCAGGTCACAAGTTCAAGACCCTTCCAAGGAATACCATTTTTTAGACTACTGCCTATTCTTCAGACCAACTCACATCTCCCTATGAAAGTTGGTCTAAATCTTCCAATACCATCCAGTCTTTAATAGCTACTAGATGAGGTGGTATCACTAAAATCCTGCTCACTCTGTAATGTGTGTTCAGTAATGGATTGGTCCATAAAAAGCTAAGCTCTTCAACTGTTAGGGAACATCAGAAATAACATGCTTCTAAAACACTATGGATCTATGAACTCTGAGTGAATGCATGTTGCCTTCCTGCTTATGAACAACAGGTTATTAGATGGGTGTGTGATCTACCAAATATGTTTTCCAAATTCCAAGGTGCTCTGGCTAGCCTCTGGCATCATTTACCACAACCCCCTAATTGATACTGAAACCAACATGTTCCAGAAAAATCACCTTATTTTTCTGATGTTTTAAAAACTTCCCTTCTTCCTTTGCCCTAGTAAATACAGAGGAGAAGAGAGACTTAGCAGTTGCATATTTGCTATGACCTCTCCCTCTTGACTCAGATCTCTGTGTCTTGTGTAGTTATGCCATACACCTCAACTGACTCTCTACTGTTCAGAAGCATTCAACTCTTGGGAACTCTGATTCTGCTTTGAAGTGATAGTGAGAGGGTTCAGGTCAGAAGGGTGTTTGCTCAAGTTAACTACTATTGATGAATCCCATTCCTCTAAACGGCCTAAGAACTTTGTTCTAAAGAAGATGCGACCACCATTCAGTCCCCAAACCTCCCTTATATAATTAATTGTGCCAAGAAACTAAGTATTGTACAAACTTCCAGAAACTCAAACCAGGAGTGTGAGGGGGGTTTCCACAGTGGAGGAGACAAAAAACTTTACTTGCTGAAGAGACAACAAAATATCCTACAAACATAACTGCCACAAAGTTAACCTAGGTCTGCTGAGAAGTCAGTAATTATTTCTCTGAGAATCCGGAGCATTTCACTAGTACTGTTAATATGCTCATTGTTATAGACGCTAAACTGAACGTCATCTAGGATAGCAACAAGATCCTACAGCAACAGAGCTGGAATATGAACTCCCCACAGACCGTCTCCCTTTAGTACCCCCTCCATTCCTTGTCACCATCTTGAACTCGGTCCACTTTCTTCACAGAATTTCTAGACCTATCTTTGCAGACCTGAAATACACACTGACTTTTCGCAAAGCCATCACTTAACGAACAGGCCTGCAGCCCTTCCCTAGCCCCGGACCTGCGCATCCCTAGGGCCTTATTGCCCTACCAACCCGGCCCAAGCCCTGGGCTCCACCTGCCAGTCAAGCCTCACTCGCCAGAGATCCACGAACGTTCTTGCTCCCACTAAATGAGAGACAACTTCCCCGTCCCCCAGGGGTCCTGAGACCCGAGATCCTTTTCCACCGTTGCACCCACCTCCTGGGACACAGAATCCAACCCAAACATAGTGCAGGGTCCGCAGTTTTCGGGATAAGATGCTGGGCAGTGGCGGAGCTGCACAGGCGCAAAAGAAACACGGAAGAGGCGTCACATGCTGATGACGTCATTAGAAGAGAGACACATTTTCCCACAAGCTTCTATGGTCCGCCATTATCTGTGATCTGCCATTAGGAGGAAATTTTGTATGCTTTCACACAAGCGTGTCTCTCACCAGGAGACCAGTACCTTATAAATCAGGACTCTTTTCTAGCCGCATGATAGAATTACAGAATTCTGATTCTTGATTTAATCCTGGTTTGACAACGTAGGCTATTGTGGGAACAATAGGCAAATTCGATTGTGAGCCAATTAGTTAATATTAATAATTAACTTTTTAAATGAGAAGTTTTTGCAATAGGCCACCTGCGCTTGCTGGATAGAAAGAGACAGAGAGAGAAAATGAGAATTTGCCCCATAGGTGGGATGGCCATGCCAAAATCCCTTCTCCTTTCTCCTCTTGGGAACTTGGACACACAGACACACACACACACACACACACATACACACACACACTCACTGATAGGGAGGGTTTTTTTTATAGTTTAATTATTATTATTATTTATCCATTCAATCACTATATTTAATTTAGATTGTAAAGAGATATTATCTAACATGATATATATCACAGACCAGGGGAGTTGAGAATACTATACAGGACATCATCAATAAGCAACAAACCATATCTGTGTCCCACACATGTCTATCTTCTCCAGTTTCCCCCAAATTTCCCTTCCTGCATTCTTGCCTTTGCTCACTCTCCTTCTGCTTTGTCCCCAGTGTCAATAACAATTTTCAATGCTTTTGTGTCCTCCAGTCTTTCAGTCTCTATCAAATGTAGACAGTTGATATATGTTAAGTGGAGACATATATTGTCTCTGTTTCATAGTCTGACTTGCTTTACTCAGCAATAAACCTACCATGTTCATCCACTTTCTAACAAATGCTAGGGTCTTGTTTTTTATGGCTGAATAGTATTCCATGGAGTTATATGTGCCACACTTTTTCGATCCATTCATTTGTTTGTGGACATTTGGGTTGGTTCCATGGTTAGCTGTAGTGAATAATGCCACAATAAATATAGCTGTGCAAGTGCTTTTCTGATTCAGCATTCCCTAGTCCTTTGGGTGAATACCCAGGAGTGGAATTGCTGGATCATATGGTAGTTTTATTTGAAGGTCTTTGAGAAACCTCCATATTGTTCTCCACAGTGGCTGGACTAATTTACATTCCCACCAACAATGTAGGAGAGTTCCCCTTACATCACATCCCACCATCACTTATTTTTTTTTTTTTAATCTTCATCATTCTGACTGGGGTTAGATGGTATCTCATTGTTGTTTTGATCTGCATCTCCCTTATGATGAGAGATGTTGATCATTTTTTCATATGCTTTTTGGCTGTTCGTATGACTTCCTTGGAGAGTTGTTTATTCAGCTCATTTCCCCATCTTTTAATTGGGTTAATAATTTTCTTCTGGGTAAACTGCTTGAGTTTGCTGTGTACTCTGGTTATCGGTCCCTAGTCTGAGGCTTAGTTTACAAAAATTTTCTCCCATTCCGAAGGTTGCCGATTTACACTAATTACTGTGTCCTTTGCTGTGTGGAAACTTCTTAATCTGATGTAATCCCACTTGTCTGTTTTGAGGATTATAGCCTGTGCTTTGGGGGTCTTGCTTAAGAAGTCTTTACCTACCTTAATGTCTCCCAGAGTTTCACCAGTGTTTTCCATCAGTAGTTTTATAGTCTGTGGTCCTTGGTTGAGATTTTTATCTTTTATTTTTTACATTTATTTATTTATTTTTTATATACAATCACATTGTTTAGCTTACAATGTGAGCATTTCAATATGTGAACATTTCTCCCCAGTCCCTTTGATCAAAATACCTTCAACAGATAACACCACACATCCCCATCCCGTCAATGCTCTACCTCCGTATCCCATCTCCAAATGTCCTTCGTTAGGCCCCACTCTTCCACATACACCTCATCTGACATTCACACCCATCTCTTGTGTTTGTTCAACCGTTAGTCAATCAGTTTCAGTCATAGAGTGCAGACATTCGGTATATGTTAAGTGGGAACATACAATGTCTCTCCTTCATAGCCTGGCTTGTCTCACTCAGCTGTAAATCTTCCATATTCTTCCACTTTCTGTCAACAGCCAGGGTTCTGTTTTTTTTTTTTT